GAGCAATGGCACTTGTTCTGCTCTCTCTCTGATTTCAGTCTCCTCTGCCACTTCCCACAAGCAAATTGGGCCCTTCTGGTGCTGGTTCCTGGGTGGGCGGCCTTTCGTACATTCTAGAACACTGTGGGTCTCTCCAACAAACTGTCTTGTGAGGCTGGGAGCCTCTCCTGGCACCTGAACCCCCAAAAGTTTTCTAATCAATTCTTCTAGGCTCTATTTCCTGGCCCTGGGGCCCTCCCTGGGTTGTGTGGTCTGTCTCATTGCCCTTTTTTTGCCTGGTTTATATGCACATGAATGTGTGTCCGCAGTCATCCAACCGCCTTGAATGCCTCACTGGGTTGGGTCTGCTCGTTTTTTTCCCCACGCCCAGGTCTGCTAACCACTGTCTTTTTCTGCTGGGGCCCCTCCTTGTGGGCCACTGACTTCACCCCTTTTACCGGTCTGGTTGAATGGTTTGGTGTTGTCGGACTTTGGTATAGTTCAGTTTTCTGTCTGTTCTGGTTGTGTTTTTGTTTCTAAATCTTTGTTGTCCTTAAGTTTGGTTGTGTGAGGAGGTATAGTATTTCCACCTACACCTCCATCTTGGCTGGAAGTCTGTTTGGCATTTTAAAAGAAGTACAGCTTTAAACTAACAATGAGTTTCAGATGGTAGAATTCCAGTCATCAGCACGCACTTCGGGGAAACTTTTGGAGGTCAGGCACCTTTCTTGTGTCTAGAATGCATGTCACTTCCTAATTCTTTGGGTATGGGTTGAGAGCAAGAAATCTCCCGAGGAACTTTTCCTTTTTCTAATTTCTCTTCCTGGAAACAAAACTTGAAACATTGGTTAGGATACCCATCAGAAGAGCAGAAGAGAAAGGGAAGACTTTGTGTTGAATATAGAAAGGCAGACACTGCAGTAACACATGGAGGAGAAATGCTACAAAAAAAGTTCCTGCTATCTGGAGGAGCCTTATATCCCCAGGGCTCTTAAAAAGACTGGACAGTACAAACACAGAGAAAATTCTGGCTGACTGCACCTTCTCCCTCCCTCTTTCGCCAATCTGTTCTTTAACTACTATATATTTTGCTTTATTCTGCTTTAAATGCAGTTTAATCAGGTATCTGTAGCCCCTTTCAGTCTGCAAGTTGCTGTCTCATGAGACTGGGAGAATAAACTGGAAGCGTTTGTAGGCAGACACTTGAAATGAGGAGATGAAATGAGACTGGGGGGAGTGTAATCTCTAAGAAACTCATTTCTAGTGCCTGTGAGCATCCATTCTTTTGGATAGTAGAGAAGGGGTTTTCAACATCCATGGTTATAGGCATATTTAGGGAGATGGTTTTTCATAGCCTTGTTGAAGAACCACCTCATTTATACTTCTTGAGTGTGTCTGTGAAGGAAGGATTTGCAAAATCCAAATTTATAAGTTAATTAGTCTCTGGGTGTAAAGGATACATCCTCCTCATTTAAATTTTCTGGAGACAGAGATCATCGACATCGCATTGGTCAGACCCCAAGATTCCCCAGGGTTGCTCCAGTTCGAGATTCTCCTTTGTGGTCTGTGAGGCAGACACATAGGAACATCTGGAATACAGGGAATGGGATAAACACTCGATAGTCTTAAATTCTGACCTTTTCACCTCCTCCTGCCCTTTCCCAAATAACCTGTCAGCACAAAGAATCTCACAGTTCCTGAGTTTCTATTGTTTGCCAAGTGTGTGTGGACATTTTGCCTAAGTTAATATATTAAATCCCCTAGGTGACCCATTTGCAGACGAGGTGGTGGGCACTAACACTCACCATGCAGAGGGACACTTTGCACCACAGTCCTCAAATCATGGGCCCATACCCTCTCCACACCACATATTGCAACCTCTCCCTCAGGTCAAGGAGCACAAAGGGCACATACTTTTCTTGGAATACTTTAGTTTTCTTTTACTGAAAATGTGCACTTATTTTTTTAAGTGTATTTTATTGATTATGCTGTTACAGTTGTCCTGAATTTTCCCCTTTGCCCCCTCCACCCAGCACTTCCCACTCCCTCAGTCTATCCTCACACCATTGTTCATGTCCATGGGTCATCCTATAAATTCTCTGGCTACTCCATTTTCTATACTGTACTTTACATCCCTATGTCTATTCTGTAACTACCTATTTGTACTTCTTTATTCCCTCACCTCTTTACCCCTTCCTCCACACCCTCTATCCCATCTGGCAGCCAGCAAAACACTCTCAGTAGCCATGATTCTGTCTCTGTTCTTCCTGTTTGCTTAGTTTGTTTTTTTTTAGATTTAATTATTGATAGATATGTATTTTTTGCCATTTTATTGTTCATAGTTTTGATCTTCTTTTTCTTAAGTAAGTCCCTTTACCATTTTGTATAATAATGGTTTGGTGATGATCAAGTCCTTTAATTTTTTCTTGTTTGGGATACTCTTTATCTGCCCTTTGATTCTAAATGATAGCTTTGCTTTGTAGAGCAATCTTGGCTGTAGGTCCTTGCTTTTCATGACTTTGAATATTTCTTGCCAATCCCTTCTTGCCTGCAAAGTTTCTTTTGAGAAATCAGTTTATAGTCTCATGGGAACTCTCCTGTAAGTACCTAACTGCTTTCCTCTTGATGCTTTTAAGATTCTCTCTTTATCTTTAACCTTTGACATTTTAATTATGATGTGCCTTGGATTGGGCCTCTTGCATCCATCTTGTTTGGTACTCACTGTGCTTTCTGAAGGGAATAGACATACAAGTCCAGGAAAATGTGCACTATTTAGGGTGGGAATGGAGAATATCTTTTCTATGGAGGAACCACATGTGTATAAAATCAATAGAAAATTATAGACTTGTAAACAAGCACCTACCAGTTAAACATACCATTAAAATTTTATACATAAATATAAAATGTATCTAAATTAAAATAAAGTTTAAATTTTACATAAATTTTAATTTAATGCAATATAAAATTTTTAATTCATTTGCTTCATAAACATAGTCTACCACATGTCACATGCATATTTTCCAGGCTAAATGTCTGTATTTTAATTTTTTAAATGTTTTGTTTGCCATAGGGATTTTAATACTATTGTAGTCAGACCTGTTCTTTTCTTCTTTTTGGTTTTGCTTTTAGCATTAAGTTTACAAAGATCTTTTCTATTCCAAGGATACATGTATATTTACCTGAATTTTCTAATGACCATATAAAGAGCATAAAACTTCACTTATTTGCAACTTGCTTTATTTTGTGTAATGCCTGCATATTTGAAGTCATCCTAAAATAGTTCGAAACTAGAAAGACTAAACATAAATAAGTGGAAAACTTTTTTTAAAAAACTTCATTTATTTTTAGAGAGAGGAAAAGGAAGGAAAAAAAGAGGGAGAGAAATTTTTATGTGAGAGAGAAACATCAATTAGTTGCCTCTAGTACACACCCCAACCAGGGATTGAACCTGCAACCTAGGTATGTGCCCAGACCAGGAGTTGAACTGGTGACCTTTGCTTTGTGGGACAATGCTCCAATCAACTGAGCACACCAGTGAGGACACAAGTGGAAAACTTTTTATCTCTGCTTTAAAATGTTCTAGAAAGTGTTTCTGGTAAAATCGAGTTTATAAATATTTTATAAGATCACTTTATATTTGAACCAGGTTAAATCAGCTTCTAATTCCTAAGGGGAAAGAGCTAAATTTCAGAGGTGGAAGATTTCTGAATGAGAGGGTAAATCTAACTTTCACAGAGTTTTTTGTTTTTATTTCTATAAGGAATGAACCTGTAAAACAGTGGTCTCTTTTTTCGTTTTTCTACAGTTAGCAAGAAGGAGGTTGAAGAAACCTCAGGGGAGCTTCTCTCCTGCTTATTCAACAGACCTACACTGATGGGAGAGTGAATGTGCTTCTGGGAACGGCAGAGCCACAGAGGAATGAGAGAGGGATGCACCAGCAGCAATGGTGCTGGACAACCCACTGCAAGTGTCTGCCATGAGGGGGTGGTGACTTGGCGGCGACAGCCTGAGGTATACCTCCCTGAGATGATGGCAGATAATAGTGAATGTGGGGCTGCAGGGGCTAATCCATTCAAGTACAGAAACAAAGACTTTATAGGAGCCTTGGGTTCAGGTAGATGAGAGCAAGAGGAACTCCGGGTGTGCTGATCAAAAGGGAGACAGAGATGAGAAATGGTGTCGGGTGCTGAAGTGGTGAAGGGGTGATGTGGTTGAAATCAAGGAGATTCAGACTGAGTAGGTAGTTTAGGTGACTGCATTTGGTAAGAGAAGAATATTGAGGTGATATCATTGGACTCAAACTTTCCGGGCTCCTATGTAGCTGAGATAGAAATAGCAGCAAAAGGTATTATCCTTCAGCATTTGCTTGGCAAATTATTGAGTAGCCATCATGGGAGTCCAACAGGGACATCTTGGAGAGAGTGTGTAGTGGAGTTGGCATCTTGTTTTATAACTCAGCTCAATTATGTATATAGCGTATCTTTTTGAACTCTGCCAGATGCAAGTCATAAGAGTTCTGCACATGCAGGGCTGTTTGTTGTTGTACACAGAAGGTAGTATTTGGGCTGAGCAAAGGCTCTGGAGTCAGAAAGACCTGGGTCTGAATGGGGTTCTGCCCCTTACTTCCTGTGTGATACTGGCAAGTGTTCCTTGTGGGGACCTCGTTTCCTCATTTGTCACATAAAGATAATGTTATATGCATCATAGCCCTGCAATGAGTATTCAATTAAATAACTTTTGTTCTTGGTACATATTAAGCATCTAATAAAAGGTAGTTGTTGTAATACCAATTGTGAGAATAGACTACCCTGAAAAGATTTTTTTGAAATAGTCTCTTCCTCCTTATGACTGTCCATGGTGGGGTTGGTAGACAAATGACCATGAAAAATAATGTGAGGAATCAGCAGGAAGGGACACCATTTTCAAATATGCACACAATATATCCCCATTGCCTAAGCCAGAGTTGGAGGTGGATCACTTAGAGCTACAGTAGTTTGGAGCAATATGTTTTTCATCATGCACTAAGAAAACACTTTCTTCTTTTCCAACACCTTCCACAAGGCATCTTTGATTTCTTTGTTCCTCAAACTGTAGATGAGAGGGTTCAGCATGGGGATCACCAGCGAATAGAACACAGACACCACCTTGTCCCTGCTGAGTGTGTAGTGGGAGCTGGGTCGCAGGTACATGAAAAGGGCTGTGCCAAACAACAGAGTCACCACCATCAGGTGCGAGGTGCATGTGTTGAAGGCTTTCCTTCGGCCCTCACCTGAGCGGATCTTCAAGACAGCAGCCACTATGTAACTGTAGGAGAAGAGGAGGATGAGGAATGATGTCCCCCCGACAGTGACCACCACGAGAAAATTCACCAGCTGACTAGGAAAGGTGTCAGAGCAAGAAAGTGCCAGGACAGGTGGGAGGTCACAGAAAAAATGGTTGATGATGTTGGGTCCACAGAAGTAGAGCCGAAATATAGAGCTGGCCTGGATCAGGGAGCTCAGGAAGCCACCAATGTATGCCCCAACCACCATGCATGTACAGAGGCCCTGGGACATGATGGCGGTGTAGAGCAGGGGCCTGGAGATGGCTACATACCGGTCATATGCCATGGCACTCAGGAGGAAGCACTCAGTTAGACCCATACCGACAAAGAAAAAAAACTGAGCAGCACAGCCCAGGAATGATATGGTCTTCAGCTCTTGGAAAAAGTCTGCAAGCATCTTGGGAGACACAGCAGAAGAGTAGCAGATGTCAATGAAGGACAAGTTGCTGAGGAAGAAGTACATGGGTGTGTGCAGATGGGTGTCACCTCTGATCAGAAAGATGAGGGCCAGGTTCCAGGTCAGGGTCACAAGATAGATGCCTAAGAAGGTGACAAAGAGGAGGACCTGGAGCTCTGGATGGTCTGAAAATCCCAGGAGAATGAATGTGGTCACTGAAGAGCTGTTCCAGGCCTTAGTTATGGACATGTCTCCCGTGAATCACAGGATGAGATGCAGATCTGGGAAAATAATGAGAATCCATTTTATAGGTGATGTCAACAAATAATTACAAAATGCATGAGAGGGAGTGCAGAGTGCTACAGAGAATTACAATTTTGTGCAAATATTCTCTTTCTCTCAGAGGGTAACTGTAGCCATTGTCTTAAATATTTGCTTTTTGATTCAGTGTAGGTGATTGATATGTGGTTAAACTTTGGATTCAGACTCCTGTGGTCAATGCCTGCCTCTACCATTTAGTAGTTGTGTTACTTTGGGTGAGCTATTTAACACCCCAGGGCTTCTATTTCCTTATTTTTAAAATGGGTGACAGTACTTACTTCATACATGTGTGTTAAGAATTAAATAAGGCAAAGTACATAAGGTATGTGGTACATCCTAAATCCTCAGTGAAAGTTATTATTAGGACAGTTTTTTGTGTCCCAAATGTGTCACTCATGCCCTGAAATATCTATTCATCTAATTTTTTGTTTAAATTTTAGTATCAAAAATAGAGAAACCAGCAGAGTCCAGGTTCAGCTAGGTAGTCAGGAAACAATGAGACATTTAGAATGCTTTTATTCTAAAGAATTAGGCCAGATGCGTATAAAATGCTCTTTGTTGTCAAGTCATAAATTTGAACATACAAATGTAGTTCTGGTTTCAAATTCATCTTCAGTATGAGCTCTCTTAGCCATGTAATTGTTTAGAATACGATCTCTAGATTTAGATTGCTAGGATTCAATTCTTAGCTTTGATACTTAACAGATGTGTAATCTTGGACAAGTCACGTGAACTCTCTCTGACCATGATATCAGAGATAATAATGGCACTTACTTTGTTATTAAAATGTATGTATGTATGTACATATTTATGTATGTATGTATCTAACGGTCTGTCTATGGATCTTTCCTCTTCTTTAGAATATGCTTGGCACATAGTGAATTCTATGTGTTTGTTGTTAGAAATGTAAGTTACTAAGTATCCTCAATAAAATTCTTAGAATTCTCAGTGTATAAAGCATCTTTCAAGATCTGGGACTTGATTCCATCCAACCCATGTCTGTAAGAATCCCCATCACTCCCTCACACATCTAGTCTCGATCCACACAAATCAGAAGACAACACCTGCTGTCAGCAGGTCTCTGAAGCCGACCTTCCCTCCCTGCAGCACAAGGAAAAGTGTGGTGGGAGGGCTTGGTGCTCATGGTGAATGACCCTTAATGGTTCTGAATATGTCCCATTCTTCTTCAGGTCTTAATCCAAACAATTTGGAAATCAACAAACTTACCTTAATTGCCTTTTTAAAAAATTTATAATTTTGTAGCCGCCCTGTGTTCGTTTCTGTGTATTATTAGGTAGAACTGCTAATTACCTTAATTGTCTTTTAAACTATATTTTCAGCCTATTTTACCTGCCTTTTGAAATAGAGTGAATCTCACCAATTTCCTTTTATTTTTCGGAATATAAATGTTATTTTATAAATTTAAAGCAATATGTGAGAACTGTAGAATAACTGATCAATGAACAACTGAAATATTAAACCTAAAATCATATGCAGTTCCTGACTGATACAAAAAACCCTTGAAATTGGGAATTGTGACATTTCAGCTCCTGGGCTAACAGCTGTAACATCTGGGTGTGTGCCTTTCATGTGCAAAGATGTGCATGTGTGTGTGGGTGTTGTGTCAGAGCACACAGACCCTCTATAACTTTTTATGCTTATTACAGAAATTGTTCCGGGTCTGTAACTTCCTGTTTTGTGGAGTAAGTAACACTTTCTATATTTGCTCTGATTTTTTTTGCTTAATTTACAAGAGCCACTTCATTTTAATATCCTTAGTTTCTCATAAATCAATCCATGTCCTTTCATTGCCAATCAAGGTTTCACCAAACTTTTCGACTTTCTTCTTCTGCCTTCAGGTCAAGTCTTTACTCTAATCCCAACTCTGTCACAGGCCAGCTGTGGGGTGTCGGGAGAGCTCATTTCGCCTTTCTGAGTTTCAATTTCCCAATTTGTGAGGTGGGGATAACAGTGACTAGTTAACAGTGTGGTTTGAGGATTGCATAAGATAATGTGTGACAGGCTCATGGGTCTTGAATGGGACGTTTGCTTAATAAATCAGGACTCTGCTATTGGCAGTGAATATTCCTCAAAGAATGTTTTATGGAACCAAGCCATTTTTTTTTTGCAGGGAAGGGAAACACTTCTTCATATCATAGGTTGGAGTGTGACTATCTTACAAACATAAGGAGTTCACTGATGTACCACACGGGTTTGCAAGAAGTGTTCCAGAGTGAGGTTGAAGAATTTAATGATCTTGGTGTTGATGTGTCAACTGAAAGTCTGCTTTGAATGTTGCTACTAGGAAGAGAAACTTTTATATTGAAGGATGAAATTCCCCATCCCCAGAAGCAGAAGATAAAGCCGGACAAATTGAAGTCAGAGAAAAAGCATATTTAGTGTTTTATCCCCAAATGTGGATGCCCTGAATCTTATTGTAGAGTGTTAAATGGAAAATATTTTAAGGGTTATATGGACCATTTTATGGTCCCACTGAGCCACTGAACATGGCTCATGAAGAGGTGCTTGAGAAAGAAAGGAAATCTCCTTCAGTCTTGCAGTAAACTCAGGGGCAAGCTCAGCCTGGTCTGTCTGAATCTGGACTCCCTACGATCATATAATGTAGGTATAATCAACAGCAGGACTATTTCACAAAGCTGCAGAAGAAGAGTTTGAGAGGCTCAGTGACTTCATTGGATGTTGAAGCTCTGTCTTTGTGAATAACAGTAGCCTTCAAGGCCATGATGAAGATATCATAAAATAAAATTAAGTGCCTAGCACAGTACCTTGCATGTAGAAGACACTCAAGTGTCTTGAGTAGATGGGAACCTGTAGAGTTGATTTATGACTCGGCACATCTTTTATGAAACATGTACAAGGAAGTGATGAGTTTTAGAACCAAGTCTTCTTGTTCTAAGCTTAACAGATGCAGTTGGTGATGGAAGGAAAAAAATGGAATGATGACAGGGAGAACCTTAGTCAAACATTGAAGCTGGTGTGGGTCGTCTGTCCCCATCTTTCCTGACCTAGGCTTCAGGATGCTTCCTCTGCTCACCCTTGCAGGGGCCTGGTGCCCTCAAGATCTTTTTTGTTCTTCCAGTTTCATCTTTCATCCAAATGCACAAATGATAGATGAAATGGAAGGAGTCCCTTTCCATATAAAGTAGAAGTCCAAAGACTTTAATCCAAGAAATAAGATTTGGATGGTAAAACTCAAGCCCCCAGTTAGAAAAGGGAGGCTTTTAGAGGTTAGAGGTCTCTGCTGTATTTGGACAATATGTCCAAATTGCCCCCCTTCCAAATTGCTTTTGAGATTATTTACTAATATTGTAGTTGGGGCTGTGTTCAAAGACATAGCAATTCCTTCATAAATTTCATTCCCTTTTAATTATCTTCTGCATTGCAAGGGCTCAAACATGGCCCAGGAAGCCCATCAAAAAAGCAGACTGAGGTAAGACAGGGTCTGAATTTGGGGCACCACAGATAGAATAGAGAAGTGAACAAAGAAAAAGTAAAACCCAAAGAACTTTTTAGTTATTAATATGGGTTTGTAGATCTAGGGTGCTTCATAAAGGGAGATTAATATGGGCATGAAGACAAAAAATAAGTGATGAATGATTGCACTCACCTTCTCTTGGCTCGTGTTCTGTCTGTCCTTGAGCTGGTACTCGTCTTGAGTTCTGCTTTGGAAGGATTTCAGTCAGGTTTCAGTAACTGTTTTCAATCCCCAAAGTGTTAATAAGTTTTGAGAACAAGCTGGAGGCTGGTTTGTTCATTAAAGATAAAACTACTCTCTTGGTGCATGGAACCTGTGTTTGTGGGCAGAAAAATAGAGGGACAACTGTAGTTGAACAACAATAAAGTAATTTAGAAAAAACTGAAGGGAAAAGGTATACAGAAAGAAGAGGAGGGGTGTAATCTTTAAGAAGGTCTTTTGGTATCTGCTAATATCTGAAGTTGGGGCCATTTTGGAAGTGTTTCAAAGCTGGAGGGGGGTAAATTTGAGAGTTTTTTTTTTTTATCTCTCCTTGGAGATGTTTCATCACCTTTGCCCTTGAGGGTCTCTTTTGAAAGAAAAAGGAATGTATCACCCAAACTTTACAGATTTGTAGTTAATTGATCTCTGGGGTTGTGTGGAGAGCATATATTAATATAAACTCTCTGCAGACAATGCTCATTAAACTCTATCCCAATGGCCAGCTCCTCCAGTCCCCCAAGGCCCCTCGAGCTCTCTCCTGGTGTACGTGGTGAACAAAGTCGGTATAGTGGCCGTAGGGAAGATAAACTCCTAATCTGCAGGAGGATGCAGGATTGCATGTATGTTCACTGTCCCATTTCTTCGTAGAACTTCTCTGGTCTGAAGTACATTGAATGGGCAGGAACTCAACTTTATAAAGCTCCTACTATGTGATAAACACAGTAGGTGCTTTATGTATGTTAACTCAGAAAATCCTCCAACTCCTCCACCCCTCCCCCCACCATGACAGGAGAGGAAACTGAAATTCAGTAAAGCTAAATGAGTTTGAATTTTATAGCTACTAAGAGATTGACCCAATATTTGAACCCAGGACAAGGCGACACCAAACGCTGCAGATGAGTGCGCAGTACGTGTGTTTACTTTGTTTCTGAATTGCAAGTAAATGTGTTGCTATGGTCAATCATATCCCTCAATTCATGAGTCCATTCCCTTTCCACAGTAGCCTACTCTCTTCCTCTAGGAGGGAGATATTAGATACAAGGCATTTCCAATAAACTAAAAAAAAAACAACCCTTGCTCTGGAATAACATGACACAGTGCATAGCTATAGGACTTTTATTCTATAGAGGGCCACATCCAAATAGAAAATAACTTGAGTCCAGACACTCAACAGAAAAAAGTCTCTACTTTATATATTTTGAGATGGAGGTTAGAGAAATTAAAAGCTAAC